CTCCTCGTGGAGACTTTAAACATCGTGAACATCGCGTGCAATCCACTTCCAATAGAACACGCGCGGGTGGAAGTCAGTCACCACCACATTCCTCTGGCACTTTTCGCCAATTCCCCTTTCCAATTCCAAGTGTGTACGGATACATTTCCCGTATGTCTATGCATGTGCATGGCTGTATATATACTGATGTATGTATCCGTGCTGGCTTTGCACGGAAGAATAATCTCCATCGCACGCGTGGCACAGGTGCGCAGTGGAAAAAGCGAGATCCTCGCATCCGCACTGGTGTTCGGAAGCATTGCTACCAATCCACTGCAGCGACGTGTTAGAAAGTACGGGGGCGACACCGCAGTGACGTCACTGGAGCGCACCTGCTCCAAGTCCTCCCGCTGTGCGAGATCCGAAGCTGGTTTAAATTCCATCCGTGTGGCTGCCCCTTGATCTCTGCAAAAACGTAGCGAAATTGTTTGCGATCAAAACGCGTACCATCCTTCACAGCACTTGGGAATCTCAGATTATCGTTCACGTCTGCGTGAAATCGATCGCTCCGCTTTGCAGACCAAGTTACGTCCGTCTGTTTTGGTATGCGATGCGTTCTACGAGTAGCCCTGTAAGTTTTGTGCTGGTGAGTCCATGACGTTGCTACACGACCTCGCCATTGGGAACGTGACCGTGTTTGTTGGTGCTGCTGTAACCAGGTCGCCATCGAAAATGAGATTGGAATGCTTCAGGTTTTACCTGCGCCACAACAAAACTTTACCCCAGCCTAGCTCCATGGGGGGGGGGGGGCAAAGCCCCGCCCAAACTGGACACCTTTATTAAGTTATTTCCAGCCGTTAACAATTTCGATACAAAAAAAAGTTATTATATGCGCCCGCGATTCCTAAAGTGAGGGACAGAACGACCCCCCCTCCCCCCCCTCAACTTGGAAGTCAAACTCCGCCTGTGCCTCGCGAGGTCGCCTTTCTCACCATCGAAGGTTCGCGTGGGACAGCTCTGGGGGAGGGGGGGGGGGCAGTCTGGGCGGGTCGCTACAAGTCGAGAGAGCTGCGGACGCGTGCCTCTGCTTTGACGGCTGTTTAATTCCTCCAAGACGCCAACAAGCCGCTGTTGTGTGTGCAACCGTCACGCCGCGTCTCCCATCAGAATCAGAAAGGGTTTATTCGCCATGTAAGTTCACACCGACACGGAATTTACTTTGGCAGGATGGTGCATACATTCAACATATAGGAATCTAAAATCTTAAATAAGTTTTAAACAAGTCTTACTATAATAAGGGTTAAAAGTCTAACACCAAGGGGCTGAAGTATATAAAATTGAATAAATATCGAATATAAAATAGCTTTAAGATATAATTAAAAAAAAATACAAATAGGTTAACATAGTTAATATCGGCAAGGTGTCATTATGTAGATAAAATGTTAAAAACAGTGTAAGCCCTTGGCCTTGTTTAACAGGCCAGCAGCAGATGGGAAGAAACTGTTTTTATGGCGCGAGGTTTTGGTCCTGATGGACCGAAGCCTTCTGCCGGAGGGGAGTAGCTGAAACAGAGAGTGTCCAGGGTGGGAGAAATCGGCCATAATCTTCCTCGCTCGCCATCGTGACGAGTGTGTTCGGACCTCATACAGGGTGGTCGTGGTCAGTGCCGGTTTCAGCTCGTGCGGGGCCTGTGGCATGATGATATAAAGTAGCCCTACATTTTGCAAAAAAACATGAATATTAAAACACAAATGTTTAACTTTGGACAGTAAAGTAATTGTATTTTTTCATTCGCTATACAACCTTAAACACCCAGTCGTTTATGAAAGTTGAAGGCTGTATAGTACTATAGTAATAGAGCAAGTGCAGAATCACTGAACCGGAATTTATAGCTTGAAATTATTTAGCGCGGGGCCCGTAGCTACAACACGTGTAGTAGCTACTAGTAGCTACTACACGTGTAGTAGTAGCTACTACACGTGTAGCAGTAGTAGCTACTACACGTGTATTAGCTAGGACACGTGTAGTAGCTACTACATGTGTCGCGACTCTTGCTACTGGGATAATCCGCCACTGGTCGTGGTGGTGGTCGACAGAGTCTCTCTGCTCGAGAGGCGAAGGCGGCGATGGCTCCGTAGCTTCGTCAGTGCCGGGAGGGCGTTGCGGAGGGACAGGGGGGCGAGACGCGTTGACGTTTTGTGACTTCGTCGAGATTATTTTCTCCCCCCTCTCTCGTCGTAGCGACTTGTAAGCGTGTCATTCTTTTTGAGAGAGCCGTGCATCACACAAATAAATACAGGACGTCGTTCGACGAGGGGAGGACAAATCTAAGAACAATCATGAGAGAGCGAGTTCTGTTGAGGAGCATTCCTCACACAGACTGCGCGATCCGCGAGACGGGGCAAGGGACGCTCCTCTGCCCCCTTGGGGTGAGCGCAGCGCCACTCGCACCGCGGGGTCTGGACGCCTCCTCGTCTCGTCCACGTCGTCTCATCTCGCCTCCTCGTCTCGTCCACGTCGTCTCATCACGCCCACGTCGTCTCGCCCACGTCGTCTCGTCTCGTCGGGACCAGCGCAAGGGGTTGGCGGGAGGGGGGGGGCCTGCATCACCAAATGTCGCTTTGACCCCCTACCCGAGTTCACGCTCCGATGCGGTGCGTATCACTGTTTAGTCCATCCCGAAGACAAAGACCGTGTAGCCTGAACAGACTGTAGGGGCAAGTGCTCCAAGCGAGCACCTATGAAGGCCGGAACGGTACACGAGGGGTTGGGTGGCCAGCACCACGCTCGACCGTCTTTGTCTCCCCAGTGGCGATGTTTACACACCGCACCAGGTACTCATTTGAGGCTGAGTCGACCTAGGGCCCAGGACCGGTTCAGATAATCGTCACTGGGTGTTGGCCGTGAGCGGGAATCGAACTCGGGACGCCTGGTTCGTAGCGCAGCGTGCTAACAACTACACTACCGCTCCCCCACCCCACGTAACAAACATCTGTACTGCCATCCCCTACCACCCTGCCCCCCAATGGCGCTAGAGGCGTGCCTGCGGTTCATGTTGGGGTTCGCCACCTCGACGTCTCGCGGCACCGCCTGGTGTTCGTTTGCTTGAAAGCGCAGCCACACGCAGGATGCATCCTGAGCCACGTGGGTGCGGAGTGCGTGCGGGTCACGTCTCATTACCTCGCCACACTGAGCGCACCTGCGTCATCAATTACTGGCATCTTCCAGCTCACGCCTTCCTCATTGATGGAGGCTTCGTTAATAGGGACGTGGAGACAAATCGAAAACACAAACGCCTTCCCAATTCATACTTAATTAACCACGAAATTGTGCTGACGTAATTATAGCGGAACGAGGACTTAAATTGTCCAATTGCACAATTGTCGGTATTGTTTCCATGCTAATGAGAGTATAATTTACCAGACGCTCACGCGCACGATGATTCGTGTTTCGAGCCACTGGCTCATGCCCAACCCGTGACGTACTCTCGAGGTAATCACCAAACCCCGGCTTTCCTGTCAACTCACCATCGCCCGGTTTCATTCTATGAATGTTGTAATTGGTAAAATTAATCTATTGATTTTTCTAAAGTAAATTTATACGTGTAAAAAAAATAACCCGTGTTAATTCGTTTACTTTGGTTTGAATGCTTTGCTCTTCAAACGTCGCTCTCACATTTCTCCCGTGTCAAGTCTTGGACCACCCCATCCCCCCGGGTCCCCTTTGCAACGGAGAGTTTTAATCTGAGCGAGTTCTCGCTTGACTGAACAATAAAGGGTCCCGACTGAGCGACACGACTCAATTAAATTAAGGAAATGGCTCACGGGATGAACCCTTGCAGCAGAATTCACCTTCGACGAACCGCCCCGTACCGCAACGTGCGAGAGCATTGCCGATTTCGGGAGGTATCGAATGCTGTTGAAGTGTAGCCAAGGCCAGTCGTGGCCAGGAGGGACGACTGCCGATGGACGAGGCTGGTGACCGGATGGCAGCTGAACCGAGAGAACGCGCCCGACAGGACGACGGAGACATGAGGTCATAGCCCAAGTGCAGGAGTGAGATGGACTGTGGCATTGCAGGACGATGTTGTGGGGAGGCTTTCATCCGGCGGCGGACGGATAACGCTACGCACGCGGTCCCATGTTCAAATAGGCATCGGAGATGAGGTGCAGCGCTTGTGAATGTGTGGAGCGAGCGTGGCTGTGGATTCGTGAAATGTCCACCCGGCGGCGCTGCAGGCACACGGCAGTGGCTGTCATTCTGTGTCACGCATCCAGCAGGACACGTGACACACAGACACACAGACACAAAGATCCCCCGTATAGCCTCAACAGACTGTTGGGGCAAGTGCTGTTAGCGAGCACCTACGAAGACCGGCGGGGTACACGAGGGAGCGGGTGGTCAGCACCACGCTCGGCCGCATCAGACACACGTCCAGCCATTCGTCACTAAGCGGTGGTGGCGTCACCACAGTGCTTGTGCCAGGATAGGTGCCTTTTGAGGCCACGTGAAATTGTGGAAGGATCGCTGGCAGGAGGTCACGAGACAGACCCAGGTGCTATGGGTTGATTAACCGAGATGACTGGCAGATGCACCACCTGTGTTCCCTACTGTGCCACATCGCTGCGTTTTAGCCGTCCGGCGCTCCGCTAGTTGTTGTGAGCGTAGATTCCTCCACCCGCCGTTGTTGCTGGAGGGTGACTGCCTCCAACTGCCCAGTAGCGTTCTTTACGAACCTTATTCTCTACAGAGGCCGATCTTGACACCGCTAGTACCGGTCATCGGCACGTCCGCTCAGCTCCACATCCTCCCGTACCGCATCAGCTCCATCTCTTCCCCAGTCCGTGCCGCGCCCGTGTAGCCCCCTCTATCCGCCCAAACGGCAACTGCTTAGACATGCGGTGGCCGGGAATGCGGGCTCCATGACCCAGCCAAAACAGCCAACAGTTAACACGGCCATACACTCGCGCACACACTCACTCTGCATGTCGCAACGTAACCAGGCCGTGACCCGCAGAACATCAATGTATAATATTTAATCGGTTACTGCTCTGTACGCAATTCATCATTCAATTACATCGTGTAACGATTGCAAAGCAACAAATATGACATAATGCTTTTTGTTATTTTATATTATTATTTGATATCACAATGTTGTGTCGTTATTCAAGCAGAGTTCAGTGCCACGCGACGGAACCCGCACACTTCACATCACCCACAAGGGGGTCGTCTCACGTGTCTCAGTACCACCCACCCACCTGTGGCCGATAAAGCTTCGTAGTACCCAGTCTCTTTACACCGCCAATAAACGTGAATTATGCGTTAAACCTTTGCAAAGTGGGTTATTTCACTGCTGGCCGAAGGCGTCCACTAACCATGTGGTACGGAGGTCGTTTGACCATACTTCACCATGCTGGTCAGTGTGGGTTGGTGAAGGGGGACAAGGGGACGGCACAGAACTGGTTCAAATATCTCTCGTCACCGATATTACTGCGATCAGCCGTGGCCGCGTGTGGAGCTCAGAAAACCCGGTTCATTACGCAGTCAGCAAACCACCGCGCCACCACTACATCCACATTTCACCTGTATTGGCAATTTAAAGAAACCGGCGTCACGAACATCGGCGACACGAAGTTAAACTTTAGGTGGCACCGGTTTAAGTGCTGGCTCGTGAAGGCACACGGCCATGGTAGTAGCGCTCTCGACAGCGACGTGAGCGTGAGACGTGAGCTCGGCACAGAGCTCTTGTAGCTACACATCGCGCCTGCGTGTCCCTGGGTGTCCCATACGAGGTTGGAAAAAAAAACCACGGGCACACACTGGGAGGTCACGGTCAAGCAACGCAACGCTGCAGCGCTCCAGTGACATCACTCGTGTGCTATGACGAAGGGCCATTGCCCGAAACGTCGCCGATTTCATAATTTTCCTTTGAAGGCCGCAGTGTCATTCACGAATTTGTTAAGTTTTGTTTTACATCACCGCATTGGAGCGACTGTCCATCACCATGCGTGGCAGTGACGTGTCGGTGACGTTATCAACAATGGCGAGTCTAACCCCAGGTTGTGTTGAACTTTACATCACTCAGCGCGGACCCAGACGCGTGCGGTACAGCCCGGGACACACAAGAGCGCGTCTGCGTGGCTCCAAGACAAGAGCCGCCTTGTTCTCTCAAACTTCGCGTCCCCTTTGATGTTGTGACGCAAACAGCTCTCAGGGGTGCGCGCGCGAGGAGCTGCGCGTGACGGAGTCTTCACTGATGACTCGGAGCGCAGTGTCCATGAGCAGCGCCGAGTGATCTTGATCCGACGCTTTGGAGGCAGGGGGGTTGGTGGGTTACCCAGAGATTTGTGAAAACTTCCCACACAGCCGCTGGGCCGCGAGGTGGTGGTCAGGAGATGTCAGCGGTGCAGCCAGTGGGTGTGTGCATCCCTTCTGGGCGAACCGCGTGTTTTTAATATTCGTACGACTCGTGGAGTCTCTCCAGCTTCTGCGGTCTCCTCCCACAACGAAGCGATTATCTCCTTGGAGAGGAAATTGGCCATTCAGCCCATTGCAGGACTCTCCTGTAAGCGTCTCGAGACTCACAATGTACACGTGCAGCCCTTTTTGTCAATCCACTGCTGGATGAGGACCTCTCCACGACATACTACACAGCAATCGATGTTGCTCCACTGCCAGTTGCAGCTCATCACATCATTCCTGCAGCCGATAACAACCAGTTATGTGCGGTGAACATCCACCCAAGCACTATCCATGATGTGTGCCCATCGACAAACAAATGGTAATTCTTCCATGTTACATGAAACGTTATGTGTGGAGTCGCCCGCCTCGCTTTGCCGGCTGCAGGGGGCGCTTTAGTCGCAGGGATCACGAGGCAAGGAGAGCGCACCCCAAGCGGCTAGCCAAGTCGCTGTGCACGCGCCCGCACATTTAATTAACGACACCATTAGGGTTATAGCGCCGGTCGTCACCGGCGAGCCGCAGACGCCGGACTGATTCAGAGCCCTGCAACCCCATCATGCCGTGGGATTCGTGTCGATTGGGAATCCTCGGCGGGTGGTGGGTGGGCAATTCCACATTCCCGCGACGGGTCCCAGACGTCGTTATAGTTCACGTGAGCGGGCGGCCGTGGGGGGCGGGCAGACTAAAATAAAACGAGTGAGTCATGTTCTCTTTGGCACGTCAACGAATGCTGCCAAACATCTCAGCCCACTCGCCCCACTCACCCAACACAGCCGCCGCCTCAACACCACCCCATTGTTGGCTCCGATGGACATCTCCCCCGCACCCGAGTGGGGGAGTGCCGGGAGGCTTTTGTTCAACGGTGGAGATAATCACGGTGGAGATAGAACACGGTGGAGATAGATCACGGTGGAGATAGAACACGGTGGAGATGCAGCACGGTGGAGATAGAGCACGGTGGAGATGGAGCAAGGGTGGAGATAGATCACGGTGGAGATAGATCACGGTGGAGATAGAACACGGTGGAGATAGATCACGGTGGAGATAGAACACGGTGGAGAAAGATCACGGTGGAGATAGAACACGGTGGAGATAGAACACGGTGGAGATAGATCACGGTGGAGATAGAACACGGTGGAGATGCAGCACGGTGGAGATAGAACACGGTGGAGATAGAACACGGTGGAGATAGAACACGGTGGAGATAGAACACGGTGGAGATAGATCACGGTGGAGATAGAACACGGTGGAGATAGAACACGGTGGAGATAGATCACGGTGGAGATAGATCACGGTGGAGATAGAACACGGTGGAGAAAGATCACGGTGGAGATAGAACACGGTGGAGATGCAGCACGGTGGAGATAGATCACGGTGGAGATAGAACACGGTGGAGATGCAGCACGGTGGAGATAGAGCACGGTGGAGATGGAGCAAGGGTGGAGATAGATCACGGTGGAGATAGAACACGGTGGAGATAGAGCACGGTGGAGATAGAACACGGTGGAGATGCAGCACGGTGGAGATAGAACACGGTGGAGATAGAACACGGTGGAGATAGATCACGGTGGAGATAGAACACGGTGGAGATAGATCACGGTGGAGATAGAACACGGTGGAGATGCAGCACGGTGGAGATAGAACACGGTGGAGATAGAACACGGTGGAGATAGAACACGGTGGAGATAGAACACGGTGGAGATAGATCACGGTGGAGATAGATCACGGTGGAGATAGAACACGGTGGAGATAGAACACGGTGGAGATAGAACACGGTGGAGATAGAACACGGTGGAGAAAGATCACGGTGGAGATAGAACACGGTGGAGATAGAACACGGTGGAGATAGATCACGGTGGAGATAGAGCACGGTGGAGATAGAACACGGTGGAGATGTAGCATAGAGATAGAACACGGTGGAGATAGAACACGGTGGAGATAGAGCACGGTGGAGATGCAGCACGGTGGAGATAGATCACGGTGGAGATAGATCACGGTGGAGATAGAACACGGTGGAGAAAGATCACGGTGGAGATAGAACACGGTGGAGATAGAACACGGTGGAGATAGAACACGGTGGAGATAGATCACGGTGGAGATAGAACACGGTGGAGATAGAGCACGGTGGAGATAGAACACGGTGGAGATGCAGCACGGTGGAGATAGAACACGGTGGAGATAGAACACGGTGGAGATAGAACACGGTGGAGATGCAGCACGGTGGAGATAGAACACGGTGGAGATAGAACACGGTGGAGATAGATCACGGTGGAGATAGAACACGGTGGAGATAGAACACGGTGGAGATAGATCACGGTGGAGATAGATCACGGTGGAGATAGAACACAGTGGAGATAGAACACGGTGGAGATAGAGCACGGTGGAGATAGAACACGGTGGAGATAGAACACGGTGGAGATAGAACACGGTGGAGATAGATCACGGTGGAGATAGAACACGGTGGAGATAGAGCACGGTGGAGATAGAACACGGTGGAGATAGAACACGGTGGAGATGCAGCATAGAGATAGAACACGGTGGAGATAGAGCACGGTGGAGATAGAACACGGTGGAGATAGAACACGGTGGAGATAGAGCACGGTGGAGATAGAACACGGTGGAGATAGAGCACGGTGGAGATAGAACACGGTGGAGATGCAGCACGGTGGAGATAGAACACGGTGGAGATAGAACACGGTGGAGATAGAACACGGTGGAGATAGAGCACGGTGGAGATAGAACACGGTGGAGATAGAACACGGTGGAGATGCAGCATAGAGATAGAACACGGTGGAGATAGATCACGGTGGAGATAGAACACGGTGGAGATAGAACACGGTGGAGATAGAACACGGTGGAGATGCAGCATAGAGATAGAACACGGTGGAGATAGAACACGGTGGAGATAGAACACGGTGGAGATAGAACACGGTGGAGATAGAACACGGTGGAGACGCAGCATAGAGATAGATCACGGTGGAGATAGATCACGGTGGAGATAGAACACGGTGGAGATAGAACACGGTGGAGATAGAACACGGTGGAGATGCAGCATAGAGATAGAACACGGTGGAGATAGAACACGGTGGAGATAGAACACGGTGGAGATAGATCACGGTGGAGATAGAACACGGTGGAGATAGAACACGGTGGAGATAGAACACGGTGGAGATAGAACACGGTGGAGATAGAACACGGTGGAGAGAGAACACATCCTGCCCCTGGCCAGACGGACCGGCCTGCCGCTCGGCATGGCCACTCCATTGTCCCACTGCGAGGCAGGAAGAGCCTTGGGAACGCGACCCGACCCAACGCTTTTTTTTGTTTTTGTTTTAACCGAACGGAGGCGCGGACCCTGGCACAAGCAGGAAGGGTGGAACCCCTGGCGCGCACCACGTGGGTCTCAGCACGTCCAACGCGTCTCCCCACTCGCCTCCACGCTCGCAGGGTCACCTTTCGAAACAATCAAAGGCGGTTCGCTCTCCGGCGCGTTGGCGGGATGCACCGCGCGCTATCCGGCGCGAGGTCCGACGTTTCGCTCCACGGAAGTAGCTCCTGGCGCAAGCGGCGAAATGCCGGACATCAGGAACTGAAGCTCCCAACACGTGGAGCGAAACGTCGGACGTCGTGCCAAACAACACCGCGCGATGACCCGCACACGCCTCGGAGAGCCACACAGCACAAACCGCAAGAACAGTGGTGATAGAACACGTTACAATCTTCCTCGTTAATATAACATTAAATTGCGTTATTTCCTTAAAACAACTATTACATAATTGGTTGTTTCAGTTACTTTTTTTTTGTCCAGCAAAAGTAGCTAGCGACATCGATGCGGGCCTCCGAACGAGAGCCAGCGGGAGTGGGCGAGGTCAGGGACAGGACGTCGATGCGGGCAGTGGCAGCCCCTGCCTCCAGGTCGAGGAGAAAAAGCTCCAGGCTCAGCTCATTCGTGCATTTGGACGAGCTGACAAACTGTAACTTGAAGATAGCGCCGTGAGATGATGACGATGATCGCAATGATAATCAATGGACCAGTGCTGGGCTCTCAGTAGCTGCATGGGCTGTGTGCATCCATTTGGTGGAGGAAGCATTGGCGGTGAAGCCACTGCCAGCGCATTCCAGATCTATGGGTCTCCGCGTGAGTCTATGGGTATCTAGCACTGTCAGTACATTGCAATGACTCAACTAATCCAGCAGAACGCGTTATCAGCCGAGACTGGAAAACCCGGGGCAGAGTTGGTGGCCTGCCCAACCTGGGAGCCACGAGTCAATACTGAATTATTTAACATTCCATTTTATTTCACATCTCACAGCGGCACTGCACGCTCAAAAGGTCAACACATTACCCTCTCCGCCGGGGCTGGCTCTGAACTGCAAATACGATGGAGCGAGAATCTAGCAGATGCCAACACAGGTCTGTTACCCCCCCCCCCCCGAAATTTATTTATTTATTTCTGAGAGACGGCATTTGTCTCTGCTGCACTGATGCCACGTGTTGATGGAGAGGACCCCCTGTGGAGCCGAGGGCTCTCTGGGTGGCTGCATAAAACACTTTAAGTGGATTCCACTTTAGTTTGTCATTTAAAGTGGCACAGGAAGAAGAAAATTAAATAAAAGCGTCACTTAAGGGCCTGGGTTTAGATGTTGACAAACGAAAGTGGCATCACCTTGGCGATTTGCTGCATTGTCGGCGATGCAGCTGTTGCCGAGTACTCGCCAATTTAAAATCTGGTGAAGAAAAAGGTGAACGTTCGCCAAGATGATAACGTGTGGCCCAACGTATTTATACAACCAGGCAGAGGGCCCAGCTGTTCACTGCCACCACACACGACGGACAAGTAGGGCGCAGCAAAATAACAAGAAACACTTAGCATCGTCAACGTTACCATCATGGATATATTGATCCTTATTTTGTTAATGGTGTCTGACGATGATGATGATGATGCCGAATTATTTTTCGTCTCTAAATGCATCGGTGGCGCCGACTATGTCCCTCGAGTTGCATTAAAATTGGCTTTCCAGTAACGTGGGAGTTTCGAGCAACGCGGCCGGGAGAGATGATGCCTCCCTCGACCCGACCCCTCCAACCGCCCCTCGCGTTCCGTATAAATAAAGCAACCTCCTGCCGCGACACGAGGTGCTGCGTATGAATGACCAGCATACACGATTGGCACAGCCCAATAAAGCAACAACAACAACAAAAATCAAAGACAATTATTAAAAAAAACACAAGCTGGCAAGCCAGTCCAATTAGGGAGCCTCTATTCCCTTAGGCGAGAACGCGTTCTAACGCCCGCGGCCTTGTATCGTAACGCCCACGTACTCGCACTCCAGCACGTGCACACGTCGCAGCGGTACGCGGCACACCGCTGCGTTCTAATATATATGTGTGAAGGCTAATTGAAAGTATTCTGTTGCCAGTCTCGACCAGAACCTATAAGGATGCCGGTCACTGGTGTGGGCCTGGGTGAGCTGGGACGCAGAGCCACAGGGGCTCGGATCTGTTTGGCGAGTGCGGCTCTTTATGCGAAGGCGCGACTCCAGAGAGGTGCTCGCGGCGAGCGCGGCGTGCGTGGGAGAGGCGAAGTGATCGCTTAAAGGCAACGTGGAAGCGCTCCGTCATCGCCGGGGGAGGAGGGGGGCCGGTGGGGGGGGGGTTGCGGCTAGCGAGCCCGGTCGATGGCCTGGCAGGTCACTTCCACTCCCCCCCCCCCACGCCACCCCACGGCGGCAACGAGCTCGTCACCACATCTGGTAACAGTTTGGCAATACATGTCGGCGTGAACGCGCACCGCGGCGTCGTCGTTTTTTCTTTCGCGGAGTAGCGAACGAAAGCGACGCGCTGTCAAAACGCCGCGGTCCGGTCGGGGTTAAGGCTACAGCCACTCAGCGGATCGCTCAGGCCCATCCTTGACACGGCTCGGGGTCTCCCCCGACCGGACCGCGTCACTCAAAATCTTCAGCGCGCACGAGGGAAACGACCCCCAGCACCCCCGCGCGGGCCGCCCCCCGCAGGCGGCCGCGTTCGTTCCACTCCTTGTGCCGCGTCACGGATGAAGAAGCACGGACCTTCCCTTCTCCCCGACACGTTCAAGTGGAGGCGCCCGCTCGACTGAACGTGCTGGCCGTTACGCAGAGACGCGCGGCGAACGTCTCAAAAACGACCGCACTTTTCTTGTGTGTTCACGAGTTTACAAAAATATCGAACTGTCGTTAATCTCGGGAGAGCTTTGAAAATGAACAAAAAAACAGTCGAGTCGGGTTTCGCTAACGCCGCGCGCACCGACACACGGCCCTGCGCTGTCCTGGGAAAGCCTGCGAGTCTTCACCGACGTGAACAGTCCCGGCTGGTGTGACAGTTGTGTAACAATAACACGAATACGCCACTCACTCAACACACAACGCGCGTGGTGCTCAACCCTCCTCCGGCGGTGCGAGATATTCTTCTTCCCGTGATATGTCGCCGCTTTTTCTTTTGAACCCCCACAGAGGCGGCAACCCGAGCCTCGGCGTGAGGCGCCGCGCTCGTAGCGCCTCCTGCGCCGTCACGGGGAGACGCCGGAGCGCTCCTCGTCACCGGCGAAGGCCGCCGGGTTCGGCCGACGAGAGCGCGACAAAGACTCCAAGTTGTGCCGGCTAGCGACGACGGCACCGCGACGTCGAGTCTGGGATTGACGCCGCGCTCCCGGCCGTGTGCTCACTGGCGTGTTGATGTTTCTTTTCGTTAGTTTCCCCGCACCCCCTCCCCTCCCCCCCCCCAGTTTAATTCCCAGTACATTATTGGCACGGTGCAATGAGACGAAGAATCCATTTGGAAATCTCACGTGTCGCAGGACAGCTGTTGACCCTTAGATAACAGGCGGTGGACATTCCAGACATGCTGTGAGATCGGCGTTCAGTCGCAAGGCATTTGAACACCCTCTGCTGGAATATGACCTAATGAAGTGAAACACCAAACCCCATGTTATTATTTTGTGTTGTGTGTGGAGTCAACGGTAAGTGGGGCCAGGGCCCCCGTGGTTCGCTCATTCCACCAGGAAGTGACTTCACGGGAAGTGACATTGGGAAGTTCGGCCACATGGCTCCGTAATCGAGCGACGACGAGAGGGGAATTCTCTGGTCGGAAGGAGCGACCTTGCGAGGGCATCGCCCCGTATAAACATCTTTGTGAGTGCACCGGGCTCTAGACCACCACTCGCTCGCTCGCTCTCCACTGGTCCCAAAACCCAGCCCCTGGGTTGTTCGTCTCTCGCTCGCTCCGCTGACCCTCCGCTGGGTGGGTGGTGGAGGTCCCCGTGCGCCGTGATAGTCGATGTGGAGCGGCCCCGCCGGGGCTCAGAGCGTGCGCACGGCGACCGGGTAGAGCAGGGATAGGTGCTCAGCACCCTTGATGGGCAGCTTGCGGTTCGTGTAGTAGTGGATGACCTCTGGCACGGTTTCAAAGGGCAGGCTGTTCTGGCCCAGGATGTACTTGCTCTCTTTGGTTCGCGACAGCTTCATGTGCATGAACCCCTTGCTGCTCCTGTGTGCGCACACACACACACACGCACGCACGCGCACACACGCACAGCCGCACATTCAACGCCGTGAGCATTAACGCGGCGATGCAGCAGCAGACAGCAGACAGCAGCAGCAGACAGCAGCCACTACCCGAAACGCCTCCAACGTTCACGCACCCGGTGGAAGTTGCCCATTTGAACTTTGTCACAAATTGTTAAATGCCGTCCGTATGTACTCTATGAATCAACAGGGGAAATGCCACATTCGCACAGCACAAACCGGTCTCTTACTTGGACAACCAATGCCACGCACATAAAATAACGCGTTTTTTCACACGAGGCGCATGACCGCATGTCCCATGACTCCGCGCAAGAGCGGGAAGCGACTCCCCCCCCCGTCCCCGCTACCCAACCGTTGCCAAGTCACCCCGACGGGATTAAAGATTCAGCGAGAATCTCCCGGGACGCCTGATCGTTGCGGCGCGAGGATGATTGCTTTCTCTTCACGGCGCTCGGGACGACGATGACTTCATCTCGCGCTCGGCGTAAGCACACAAAACCACGGCGGTGGCCGCTTCAGAAATCTCTCGCTCCCTCTCTCGCTCGCGAGCTCCCTGACGACTTTAGCACACATCCTGTGAATTGTACGGACGAGCTCCCCCCCCCCCCCCCCCCCCCCCCGCGTGCCGGAAAAAAAAACCGAGGGCTCGCTCAGCGCAACCACAAAAAGAATGAGACAATTTCCTGCGCCGTTTGGCGGCGACTTGAAGACGCAAACAAAGAGGTGGAGGGGCGGCGGAAAGCACAAAAGTGAAACGCGAACACAAAAAGTGAATAATCCGGCTGGGTAGAGAACCAAAGTGGAGTTAGGGTTAGCGATGGGCTAGTGCCACCCATCTGGTTGGCTCGTTTGGAAAGGGTGAGGAGTGGAGCTTGGGTCTGCTTGCCTACTTTGGTTGCTCGGGGTAGGACTCATGGTGGCCGATTTAGGTTACGCATATATGTCGAACTTCTTTCCCACCGTACGTTGCCGACCGGGCTAGTCCAGAGGTGCTACACGGATCACATAGCCACAGAGCCGTGAAACCGATGGCGCTTGCAAGGCGGCCAACAGACGGGAGTACAGCAAGTGGGCTTGCGGACCGGCGCGGGTGATTGAGTGTTATCCCCTGGCATGCGTGCTGTGTTTTTCCATCTGGCTGCTCTGGCGTGCCGCCCATGCGAAGATAATGACAGGTCCCTCGAAAAAGAGTCGGCCAAACATCCCAACGAAGCGGCCTTGGCGAAGCCATCGCACAAAGCCAGCCACCGCATTGCGCGGCGTTCAGATGCGTTTCTGTGGCCGTCTGGAACGCTCTTACTTCCGATATTAGGAAGGCACAGGAGCGATGCACATTAAAATCATCTCGATTGAAAACTAATTTCTTTAGAACTGATTTTTGTGTTTAGTTTGTTGTCCTTTCCCCGCACCTCCGATTAGCACGGTTGGCCACATACGGTGCGAAAGAAGTGGAACATACACACATACATACATACGAAAAAGGGCCCTCCTGCAAACAAAAAAATATCTTACGACTCGGTGAGGCTTTCCTAGATAAATAAATAACAATTTTAAAGTTTATTGGTAAGATATACCTTGGAGTGAGTGGTTCTTTGGCAAAAATCTGCAGTGTACATGTGACGTGACTAAGTGGTTCTTTGGAAATAAAACTGCAGTGTACATGTCACATGATGACAATTGACTAAGCGCAACGTTTACAAAAAATCCTGCACACGTCCTTGTCCGAGAGGGCTGTGAGACACCACACGCCGTCTTGTTGAACACAAACTCGTCTGAGTTGTTGCGTTTTACATTCAGCGAGGCCCCATACACTGGTTTGTACGGAGTGCTCTTGCTAATAACATCTGGTAATGCAGCAGCATTTTTGTTTAACAAGCCTGACTCTGCTGATGAGACCCGGAAGGCCCAAACTGGTCCAGACGTTTTCCTGCCTCAACAAAAGATGCTGAATAATATTGCTCTGCACAGCCAATGGCCACGATGGACCGAACAATACGTGTGCGTTAAATGTTGAGACACGGGACGGAGTTCCGCTCGCGTCCGTTTTGTCGAGGGGAGAGCCGCTGAGGTTTTGCACGACGAGGAATTCTGAAAAACAAAACGGCGCCAGTAGCGCGGCCTCGCAGTCAGCGCCTGGCCTCCATCGCAGATTCAGACGCACCACACCACGAGGCCCCAGTGAGACCCTCGAACCACACCACGGGGCTCCAGTAAGACCATCGCACCACACCACGGGGCTCCAGTGAGACGCTCGCACCACACCACGGGGCCCCAGTGAGACGCTCGCACCACACCACGGGGCCCCAGTGAGACGCACCACACCACGAGGCCCCAGTGAGACCCTCGCACCACACCACGGGGCCCCAGTGAGACCCTCGCACCACACCACGGGGCCCCAGTGAGACCATCGCACCACACCACGGGGCCCCAGTGAGACCCTCACACCACGGGGCCCCAGTGAGACCATCGCACCACACCACGAGGCCCCAGTGAGACCATCGCACCACACCACGAGGCCCCAGCGAGACCATCGCACCACACCACGGGGCCCCAGTGAGACCATCGCGCCACACCACGGAGCTCGTCAGCACCCGGCAGGTTGATCACGGGGCGACGCGTCGTGGGCCGAATTTAGCCGAGAATGATGTCCGCTTTGACTCTTCATCATTATCATCATCAGCAGCAGCAGATATATAATCTTCATCGTCGTCAACATGAGCAGCAGCCGCTTTACAATATTATCATTGGCCATGGTCTATGCACAGCTGGAAGAAGGCCTTCCCACGTCGTCACCACAGCACCCGGTCTCGTGAAACCACGATCCATCTCGCTCCAGCGCATGCGCCGATCTCGCGGCTCCATCTCCGTCGGTGGTCGCCCTCGCCCACCAGCGCGTTTCACTTCGCACAGAAAAGTGAAACGCGCGTGTCAAAGAAACAAAACAATAAACCAAATCACCGTCAACCCCCACCAGACCGTCGTCACCTGCCCACCCCTCCATGCGCCCACTCTGGACGCGTGACGGTGCCGCGGTCGCCCTCCCGCCGAGATGCCGCGGGGGGCGGTGGGGGGGGCGATGGGGGAGGTGGCGCTGCCACGGGGCCGCGACTCTGCTCCCCTCTCCTCCGTCGCTCTCGCACCGATCAATTTCGCGCGCTGGTGCACTCCCTCGGCTGCGGCGCCCGTGCCAGCCGCGCCGATTACCCTCTCTGCCCCAGAGGTGAATATAATCACACCGTGAGTGATATCATGAGGGGGGGGGGGGGGTGTGGTGGGGAGGCGGCAGTGGTGGTGGATCAGAGCAATCGTGGTGTTGGTAGTGAAGATGGTGGTAGGAGTGGTGATGGTAGCCAGTCATCTCAGTCAGTCAACCCACAACACCTGGGTCTGCCCCGTGACCTCTCATCAGCGAGCCTTTGGCACTTCATGTATCATCAGGTTGCATCTTAGTGGCAATGGGCAGTTGTTGTTGTTGGTGGTGGTGGTTGCGGTGGTGAGAGGCGGAGAGTGAAGATGACCATGGCGGCCTCTGCGGAGGCCGTGAAGCCGCAGACGACAACGAGGCCGGCGGCGCGCGGTTGGGGCGGCGTGAGCGGCGTGGCCACCTTACGAGACGCAACTGCTGCCGGCGTGTGGCTCACTGCTCACGGACACCGGCCGCGGACCGAGTCGCCAACGTTTACCAAAACAAACGCCTGGGCGCAGTGGTGATGGCGGCAGTGCTGAGAAACGGCGGCACCGCGTGGTCACCCCCCGGCCCAACTCTTCCCCGACGGGCCGCACCACGTGGTCGCTCGGCCCCTCGCACGTCGCTCGGTCAAACGATTCGCGATTGCGGTCGCTAAACGTAGCCTCACGTGCAATGGATATCGTGCTACGTGAAGTTGAGCGTGCTGTCCCCGTGTCAGATTTCATTTTTGTTGGATAATTTTTGCATTCGCCGCTCGTTAAAAGGATTTATTCCTGTTAAGGGCAATGAGCTGTGATGAATCTGATTAGCGGGGTCATCCCGTGCGCTTGAGCGTCCCGCAGACCGTCGCGATGATTCACGTAGACGCAAGCGATGGTGGGGAGTGAGGGGGGGGGGCAAGGGGGCTGTCACGTCGAGGGCGAGGGGCCCAGCGGCCTTCGGTGCCCAGCGAGAAGCCAGAACATCTGAGGATACAAACTACGCTACGCTTGGCTTCGCTTCTGCTTCATCTGCACGACCACAGAGACAGACGCTCATATCCACGGTGAAAGATGTGATCCAATGGTGTGTGATTGATGCTGCTGCTGATGGTGATGATGATTGTGACAATGATGATGAGCAGAGGGGAGAGAGGAGTGGGCCTTAGGAGGAGGAAGTGGAAATCATTTGATCAGGTGTGAGTAACAGATGCATCGGTGGGAAGTGAGGGATGAGATGCGAGTTAGGGATGGGAGCTCGACCAAGTGGAATTCTCCCGTGCTGCCCTCCCAACCTGGGCACGCGCGCGTCTCACTGCGCGCACGCATCCGCCGTGGCGCGTCACTGTGCCCCCGTGTTCCCGCGCCGTCACGGCGGCATGGCGCAGGAGGCCGTGTCCGCTCGACGAGGCGGAACGGCCGAGAGGTTTTGACGAAGACGCGGGAAGATCCGCGATAGCGGCGCGCCCACCCAGCCGAGCCGTCCGTCTCGGCGACGAGTTGACACGCGCGGTTGCCCCCCTGTCCGATTGGACGGGCGCGTGGACAAGCGATACCACGTGGGTCCCTCGCTACTGCGTGTGCAGTCGGCAGAACACAAGACCCCCCCCCCCCCATGCCCCCTCCGTGCCACCCCCCAGCCCACATCGTGGAAAAGAGGGGGAAGATATCTGGAACACATCCGGCAAGCCAGTCTCCGCTGATGAGACTCACATGGTCAAAACCGGTTCAGAGTTTCCTTGCTCAAACGCGGTCTGGAGAGCCAACAGGCCGATGGATGAAATATTTAGAGGC